AAATCTAACTCGACTATCCATTCAGCCTCCTCCATTTGTTCTTTAGCAACTCCAGTGACATATTGAATAAGTGCCGGACATACTCTTTCCATGTCTAATTCTTTAGTAGTGAACTCATTAGGATTTCCATTGAAAGAAAATTTGACTCTTGAGCAAAATTGTTGAACCAAATATTGCATTTGACCATAATGGTTCTCTTTTAATTTTTTCATTGCGGCATATCCAAGCTTCTTTCCTAGAAATTTGAGAAATTCTCGATCGACATATGAGCTACCACACAAATCACCACTACGTTCCGTAATTTCACTAAGCTTCATGGCAGGCAACAATGTTCTTGTTGTCAAATCCACTGTACCCCCGCCACAATCTACAATCATAAAAGATGCTAATAATAAAAGTAATCAAGGTAAGTATTATTCTAAACAAGATATACTTATATGATACTGAGAAATATTTACATCCTACTGATAATCGATGTTCATTCAAGCTTTGCATGCAGTATATAGCGGCTGCTTCGGCTGCAAGTAAAAAACAATTCATTAAATTGATGTTTAGCAGACTCACGGAAATTAAAAATTCATTTGCAATTTATCAAATCAACCTACGTTCAGTGGTGAACTCCAGATTTTCTGATAGCCTGTGATCCAAGTAACCAGCATTGTACAAGCACTCTCTCATAATTGCCTTTGCTTCATGGTGCCTTTTTTTTCGGAAGTTAGATTCGATTAGTACAAAATTAAAACTATCTGGAAAGGAATAAACTAATTATTTACCATTCTGCGGGTACCGAACATACAAATCGTACTTGTGAAGGATATCTTAAGCCTAAACTTGATAGGATTTGGTTAATCAAAATCGCATTGCATAAAAAAAAAAGTCGTTCATCGATAAGTTACCTGGCCATCGGGAATTCAATGTTTCCAAAATTAACTTGTAATAAATAAATTGCGCTCGATTAGAAGCTAAATTAATACGTGATTAATTATATTGACTATTAAGATCTATGACTCACTTTATTCACTTCATGCAAATAATCCGTAATTGCTTTCCTTGGATCTAGACCTGGTGGAAGCGGTGGCTTCTCGTCTTCTTTCACATTAGCCAAATGCAATTTAAACAATTCTACAGGTTTTGGATGTGGCCTGGCCGCTTGCTTCTTTTTCTTCGGGGGCTCTTGGGCCAAAGCGGGATACCCCCAAGATACAAGTTGTAGGTTATCGTCATAAGCCAAACAAGTATTTGTCTTGAAAGTTCCTTGTTGTTCTAAATTTTCGAATATTTACAATGTTAATTGTTGATTAAAATTCAGACTTAAGAGAAGAATGAAAAATTTACCTGGCCACTACGAAAAAATTTAATCAGATATTAAGTTATGAAGTGAAAATAAATTTCGTCGGTTAACTGTTGCACCAAAAAAGTGAAGAATCACGCGTAATCTGACATGATCTTAAGATGTGTAATCCTGACCATCCTGTCATGCAATTGTAAACATAACTTACACTGTCATTCGTGATAATTTCAGGATTAGCTCTGTTAGCTAGATAAATAGAAGATCTTAGTTGAATAAAAAGGAAAATTAAAGTGGAAGAATAATTCAAAAAAAGTACCATATGCAAAACCCTAAGGATTAAAATGAAAATTTATAAATTATCCGGTGTCATTGCGAAGAATTAAAATTTAAGATGAAACTTACAGAGAACGTCGTGCCGAAATCTATTCAATAAAGACCATTAAATAAGTAAATATAATAATTAACACGATATCTCATATTAATCATTAAATTACCTATAGAAACTACGACTCGAATGTCTCTTGCCATTTGAGTTCAATCTTCTAAGAATAAGACAATGTTGAATCTGCACGGTCACAAAAAAGAAGCAACTTTTCCAATATATATATCGACAGTCAACAACTGGTATAATGGAGAGAGAAGTCTGAATTTCGGGGGTTTTCAAAGAGGAAAGACCTTTTGAATACCACAAATGTAAGCCCGGACTTAAAATAAAAAAATTCCGGTAAAAAAAACAAGTCTATTCAATATTGTGTAAACTTCGTTCTTTATAAAGTAGTGATTTTGCGCGACACGGTACGGTAACTAATAAAAATCCAGAAATGTGTACACACATACTCGCTTATTAGCAATAACAAAGATTTTCGATTGTAAAATGAATTCTGCTGATGAACAAAAAATTTTATTTGTGTCAAAAGGTATTTGATCTTCACCATTTTGGGAATGGCACGAATATTGTACACCGTGTGTGATGGCGTTTTAAATTCTGGACTTTTATACTCGTGCAGTGCAGCTCTGATCTCCTTGGGCTAAGAAAAAACGCGAAGAATCAACGATTGGAAAAAGTTAAAATTAGCAAAGGTCCATCCCGCCACGCAGTTCAAGTCCTTCAGGTTCAGCGAAAAAAAAAAGCTTATTCTGACAATGGTAAATTTGAATAATGCAAGTCCGTGTAACATCCCACTTTCTAACGTAGTATTGTCTACAAATCTCCGAAAACTCCGATATAAAGTTTCGAAAATAATATCGGGTATAAACTCAAGATCGTAAAGCTATTTTTTTTAAGAAAAATTTCTAACATTAATATTAGAATAGAAAGTGTATAGTAATTTTATAACATGCCGGATCCTCCGATTAATTCGAACAACCCTCCTCCACCAGTACCAACTAAAAAAAAAAAAAATACTGGTAAAATAATTTCCTTAATTCAATAATTATTGTTGATGAATAGGCTGCTCGAACAAGTACGCAGAACCTCATTGCCTTTCTTGCATATTTATCTTTTATCTATCAAGCTGAAGAAGAAGAAGATTTCGAGAGCATGCAATTCTCCTCAGAAGCAATAGATGTTGCAACCAAGTTCCAACGCTTGCTCGATGCATACAAGAGATACAAAAGGCAAAACGAGTTACTTGAAAAAGAAAAAACGGACTTGCTTACCCAAAACTACAACATTCGTCTTCAGGCTGATCAATGGCAAAAAGCCGTCAACGATATAACCGTGCGAATGGATTCGGAAAAAAGGAGATATCAACAAAGAGCAAATGAATCGGATCTTGAAATTCAAGGCCTAAAGAAACAGATTGTCCAATTTAAAGATGAAGCCTCGCAGTTACAATCACGTCTTGGAAACGCCACAAGCTTTCATTGGGGTGATAATGATGCTAACAACACAGTGCAGCTTAATAAAGTAATTTCTAATATACAAGATAAGTTGGATGAATTCGCCATGGTTAAAGGCAGAGACGTATTGATCATTGAAGAAAATGCAGCCAGACTCTTGCAACAATACAAATGCACAACAAAAATTGGAGGGGGAAAAGGTAAACCTGTGTTGAGTGCCGCTTTGCAACGTCTTACGCTCGAGACTCTATTTCATCATCTCAACAAATATTTGCACCAACCTGAAAAAAGTTCTCGACAAAATCCTCAACTTGTAAACCAACAACTACAGCAGCAGCATCAACAGGCTTTGGCCACTTCACGACATTCAACTTCCCCACAACCTAATCCGAGAAGTTCGAGTCTTGGTGCTGAACAAAATAATAACCTTGAAGTCGAAATTACAACGACAATGACTTCTTTGTGTGATCTAGTGAGTCAACTTACTGAATCACGCCAGGGATCCGATGATGTTTCACGTGCAACGCCTATAAAAATTCGTCAACAAATTTATGCTGTGCTGGGAACACGAGGGTTTTGTAAGGATGGTCACCCATTCATTGAACAACTCTCAAGTGCAATTTTGGAAAAAATTGGTCAGTATCGTCAATTAAAGAGCGAAGAAAGACAATCGGAGGTCAAAAAGAACACCATAGAAATAGTCAGAGATATTGTACAGCTGTATTTCAGATTAAACGCCCAAGAACCTGTACCCGATTTTACCGAATTTTTCGGGGCGGGTTCAACCATACAAAATAACGTCATGGACGGATCATGGGATGATGACAACATAGAAGATTTGGAAGTCGAAATTTGTTCTTTTCCATTAATTAGTGTTAGGGGTAAAGATAATGTTAGGAAAGTGCTTAGTAAAGCGCAAGTGGTCGCAAGGAAAAGGAATTAAACTCTGGAAATACAATTTCCTGCCTTGTGTAAAATGCTCATTTATATCTATTACTATATTTATATATCATATTTTCCATTCTAAATCATTTCTATCACTGTTTGTTATGTGAAATTTTGTTCGACATGAGGAAATTTTCAAGGTTAATTATAAGAAACATAATTTCGTGAAGATCAAAATAAAGATGTAAACCATGTTGATTACATATTATTTCAACATTGCTTATAGTATATATACAAGGTGTTTCAAAATTTTTTGAAAAAATAATTATTTTTATTATATAACTATTATATTAATTATATCAATTAAAATTATATCTAGTGAAATAAGAACCTGCAATTTTATTTGAAGCTAATTTTATATGATTATTTTAATAATCAATTTTATGAAATTTTTGTCAAAAAAATTTTTTTTTACTGTTAAGTGAGGCATTTTTCATGATCTTTATTAATAGAGTAAATTCATTACATAATTAATATTGAGATGTTGAGATACATTGCTATACATGTCAGCCTACCACCATATTAGATATATTTCTGAT